CTGGGATCATGACCTGAGCCAAAGGGAGACGCTTAACGACTGAGCCACCCAGGCGACCCAACATAGCATCCGTTCTTAATGAAAATCCTCAAAAGAGTAAGGATAGAAAGAACATACCTCCAGATCATAAAGGTCATATACAAAAGACCCACAGGTAGTATCATCCTTAGTGGGGAAAAACTGAGAGCTTTTCTCCTAAGATCAGGAACACAACAGGGATGTCCATCCTCACCACTGTTGTTCAGTATAGTACTGGTTCAGCCGGTGTTATAAATAAATAAATATCTTCTGCACAGCAAAGGAATAAAAGCTTCTGCACGGCAAAGGAAAAAATCAACAAAACTAAAAGGCAACTGATGGAATGGAAAAAGGTATTTGCAAATGATATATCAGATAAAGGGCTAGTATCCAAAATCTATAAAGAACTTATCAAACTTAATACCCCAAAAGACAAATAATGGTCAGTTAAGCATTGGGCAGAAGACATGAATACACTTTTCCAAAGAAAACATCCAGATGGCTAATAGACATATAAAAAAATGCTCAACATCACTTATCATCAGGGAAATACAAATCAAAACCACAATGAGATACCACTTCACACCTGTCAGAATGGCTAAAATGAACAACTCAGGAAACAACAGATGTTGGCGAGGTTGCGGAGAAAGGGGAACCTTTTGTACTGTTGGTGGGAATGCAAACTGGTGCAGCCATTCTGGAAAACAGTATGGAGGTTCCTCAAAAAGTTAAAACAGAATAACCCTACAACCCAGCAATTGCGCTACTAGGTATTTATCCAAAGGGTACGAAAATGCTGATTGAAAGAGGCACATGCACCCCAACTTTATAATGGCACTATCAAGAATAGCCAAATTATGGGGTGCCTGGGTGGCTCAATCGTTAAGCGTCTGCCTTTGGCTCGGATCATGATCCCAGGGTCCTGGGATCGAGCCCCACGTTGGGCTCTCTGCTCAGCGGGAAGCCTGCTTCTCCCTCTCCCACTCCCCCTGCTTGTGTTCCTGCTCTCGCTATCTCTCTCTGTCAAAAAAAAAAAAAAAAGAATAGCCAAAATATGGAAAGAGCCCAAATGTCCATTGACTGATGAATGGATAAAGAGGATGTGGTATACATAAACTATGGACTATTACTTGGCAATCTAAAAGAATGAAATCTTGCCATTTGCAACAACGTGGATGGAACTAGAGTATATTATGGTAAGCGAAATAAGTCAGTCAGAGAAAGAAAAATACTGTATGATTTCACTCATGTGGAATTTAAGAAACAATACAGATGAACACAGAGGAAGGAAAGGAAAAATAAAATAAGATAACAGGGAGGGAGCAAACCATAAGAGACTCTTAACTATAGACAAGAAACTAAGGGTTGAGGGAGGGGAGGTGTCTGGGAGAATGTGCTAAATGGGTGATGGGCATTAAAGAGGGCACTTGGGTGTTATATGTAAGTGATGAATCAATAAATTCTATTCCTAAAACCAATACTATACTATATGTTAACTAAGTTGAATTTAAATTAAAAAAAAAAAAAAGAACTGTCATATGATCACACTACTGGGTATTCCCCTAAGAATGTGAAAACACTAATTCCAAAGGATATATGCACTCCTATTTTTTTGCAGCATTATATACAATACCCAAATTATGGAATCAGCCCAAGTGTCCATTGACAGATGAATGGATGAAGAAGATGTGGTATATACAAAATGGGATACTATTCAGCCATAAAAAAGAATGAAATCTTGCCATTTACACCAACCTGCAGTGTTATAGAGTATAATACTAAGTGAAATAAGCCAATCAGAGAAAGACAAATATCATATGATCTCACTTGTATGTGGTATTTAAGAAACAAAACAAATGAACAAGCAGAAAAGAGACAAACCAAGAAACAGACTCCTATCTGTAGAGAACAAATAGATGCTTATCAGAGGGGAGGTGGGTGGGGTGCATGAATGAAAGAGGTGAACGGGATTAAGGGTAATCTTACCTTGATGGTTACTGGGTGATATATGGAATTGTTGAATCACTATATTATGTACCTGAAACTAATATAACACTGTTGTTAACTATAATGGAATTAAAATTTAAAAAATAAATTGAAAAAAATTTTTAAATGAAATTGTTGTATCGTTGTGTTGTGCTATTTAGGAGCTCTGCCATTTCTCTTAGAGGGTAGGGAACTGCAGAAGATTGACTCTATCCTGTATATTTTTACTGGTGATACAGAAAATGCAAAAGTAATGTGTTTTATTATTAATGCATTTATTTGTCCAGTTATTTCATTCTACAAACTGGTTAGGAGCCTATCACTATATATACAAAGCTGAATAAGATACATTCTTTGTCCTCATCAGTTTTATGAGGTAGCAAGGGAGATAAATATGTACATGAATAATTTCATTACAACATAGTAAAGAATACTATAGATGTGTGAATAATTAAGTAGTTCAAAATATGAACAATCTCTTCAGGCCAGTGTTTGTCTGCATAAAGTTGTATCCTCCTCTCCTCTTTCCCATGCTTTGGATCACCCGTCAGCGAGTGAATTTTTATTGTCACAATTTCAAGCATTCTGCTGGCCTTTAATGTGACAGTCCAGGAATATGAAATGCCTTGCAGTACACTGGACAGCCCTGCAATACTAAGTATTGTCTTCAAAATTCCAGTAGCACCTGGCTTGAAAAATACTGCTGTCCTCTTTGTGGGAAGGCTTCAATGAATACTCAGTTAATATTTGTGTATCCACTTTATCCATGATTCTAGATGCCTGGAAATAAATATTCTTAGAGAGTAATGTCCTTATCCTAGTAAAATGTGGCTTGGTGGTTGTCAAACTCTCCCAAAGACCATTTAACCAAGTATTTGGTTTTAGTTATCCTTTAAATTTTGGATTCTGCTTAATCATACCTGAAAACTAAAATCTTAAGAGAAATTGAGTTTTAGCAATGTAATACCATCCCTTTTATTTTTCCTCTTATTTTCCTTCTTCTGAAGAGTTGTGTTGTTTATGATAACTTGGTTACTGAAATATTTTGAAATTACATGGATTTTTTTTTCTTTTCTAGGAGAATATCAACCAGCAAAGTGACAGTTCTGGGTTATGGTCTTTTAACCACAGATGCAGAGACTTTGGTAGATGCATTGAATAATCAGAAATTCAACGTAGTTATAGTGGATGAATCACACTACATGAAGTCCAGGAATGCAACCCGCAGCAAGATTTTATTGCCAATAGTACAGAAAGCCAAACGAGCCATTCTTCTTACAGGAACTCCAGCTTTGGGAAGGCCTGAAGAGGTATTAAAATCCTTAAATTTTGGCTTAAAAAAAATCTTTCACCAAAAATAATCATTTGGAATTTCTAGATGGCTATTAATGATTAAATATATCTTTTATATGACTGTTTTCTCTGTTTACATGTGAACCTTACCTGTGCTTGTACATGTGTATAAAAAAATAGTTTTTACTTTCAGTATAAGGTTTTCATATTTAGTATACATTTGTAATATTCATCACATTTGTTTTCTTATGATTCTTATGTGGTTTTAGTCTTCATTTATCCAGTTTGTTTGACATTATAAGGATATAATTTAAGATTGGAGTTTAATCTATTTTGTATCTTTTGAATTGCCTTACAGAACTTCTTCCTGTTTCTCTTGTACTTCAACATACATGTTTTGGGGGCGCCTGGGTGGCTCAGTCAGTTGAGCGTCAGACTCTTGGTTTTGGCTCAGATCATGATTTCGGGGTCGTGGGATGAGCCCTGCTTAAGGCTCCACACTGAGCACAGAGTTTACCCGAGATTCTCCCTCTCTCCCTCTCACTCTGCTGTTATCCGTACTTGCACTCTCTCTCTAAAATAAATAAATAAATGTTAAAAAAAAAAAAAAAAAGATCCGTGGTCTGGGAAGGTATAGGTATCTGAACTTCTGTTCAGATCAGGTAGAATAACTACTTGCATGGAGAAATAAGGCATTTGTTTGATACCCCCATTTAGCTTTACCACTCTTAAGAGCTATGTAGAGTATGGAGTAAAGGGTTGGGAGGAAGAAATGACAGTTGAAATTCTTTTTTTTTTTTTTTTTTAAAGATTTTATTTATTTATTTGAGAGAGAGAGAGCATGAGAGGGGGGAGGGCCAGAGGGAGAAGCAGACTCCCTGCCGAGCAGGAAGCCTGATGCGGGACTCGATCCTGGGACTCCAGGATCATGACCTGAGCCGAAGGCAGTCGCTTAACCAACTGAGCCACCCAGGCACCCTTTTTTTTTTTTTTTAATGATTTATTTATTTATTTGAGAGAGCGAGAATGAGAGAGAGAGAGAGTACATGAGAGGGAGGAGGGTTAGAGGGAGAAGCAGGCTCCTCGCTGAGCAGGGAGCCCAATGCGGGACTCGATCTAGGGACTCCAGGATCATGACCCGAGCCGAAGGCAGTCGCTCAACCAACTGAGTCACCCAGGCGCCCGACAGTTGAAATTCTTATGAGTCTATAAGGGTCATTGTAACCTAGAGAAGCCCTTTCCATTAATGAACACTGAGTCACAGAAAAAAAATGTACTTTTTGTCTTGTAGGGTTTAAAAATTAAAGGAAATACTGGTTTGAAAGTATCTTGCTATGTGCCCTGGCACATGGTAAGCACTCAACATAGAGTAGCCAGTTTTATTACTGATTAGTAAGCCAGGCTTGGGAGACAGCTATTGGTAAGAGTGTATTATGTTCATTGATTTTCAGATGTTAAACCAACTTTACGTTCCATGATAAATCTCTCTTGACTGGATGTCATCCTTTTTATTTGTTCCTGGATTCAGTTTGCTCTATTTTGTTGATGATTTTTGTGTGTATGTTCACAAAAATAGTGATCTGTAGTTTTATTGTTATATCTTTGGTTTTGGTGTCAAGGCAGTAGTGGTTTCATAGAATGAGGTGGGAAGTATTCTCTCCTTTTCTGTTTCTAAGAGGAGTTTGTGAAACATTGGTATTACTTCTTTTTAAATGTTTGGTAGAACTTAGTGGTGAACCCTTCTGGGCCTGAGTTTTTCTTTGTGGATAGTTTTTAAATTAATCATTCAGTCTCTTCACTGAATATTATGTCTATTCAATTGTATATTTCTTCTTGAGCAATTTTGATACGTATCTTTATAGGAATTTTCCCATTTTTTCTAAGGTATCTAAGATATTAGCATACAGTTGTTCATAATATTCCCTTATAATCCTTTGTGTTTCTGTGAGGTTGATAGTAATGTTCCCTCCTTTATTTGTGATTTTAGTAACTTGAGTCTTTTCTCTCTTTTTTAATTTGGTTAATGTAAGCTAAAATTTTGTCAATTTTCTCGTTCTTATCAAAACCAATATTTGGTTTCATTGATTATTTTTTCTGTTGTTTTTCCAATCTCTATGTTGTTTATTTCTATTCTAGTCTTTATTATGTTACTCCTTCTGTCTGTTTTGCATTTTGTGTACTCCTTCTTTCCCAATGTCTTAAGGGGGAAAGTTAGATTATTGATTTGAGATCTTTTTTTTTTAAGATTTTATTTATTTATTTGACAGAGAGAGAGAGCACTAGCAAGTGAAGGGGCAAGGGAGAGGGAGAAGCAGGCTCCCCGCTGAGCAGAGAGCTTGACATGGGGCTCGATCCCAGGACCCTGGGATCATGACCTGAGCCGAAGGCAGACGCTTAACTGACTGAGCCACTCAGGTGTCCCATGAGATCTTTTTTCTTTTTTAATGGAGACATATACAGCTATAAATTTCAATCCTTGGATAACACACTGGCAATTACTTAGAAAGTTAAAAATAGAATTACCATAGATGTAGCAATTCCATTTTTTAAGTTTACACACAAAAAACTGAAAACATATGTTCACACACACAAAAAAACTGTATACAGATGTTCATAGTAGTAGTATTTATAATATCCAAAAAGTAGTAAGAAGCCAGTGTCCATAACTGATGAATGGATAATGAAAATGCAGCCATAAAAAGGAATGAAATACTGATACATTCTACAACATGGATGAACCTTGAAAGCATTATGCTAAGTGAATGAAGTCGGACACAGAGGCTACATATTGTATGATTCTGTTTATGTGAAATATCCAGAAAGGCGAAGTAATGGAAATAGGAATCAGATTAGTGGTTGCCAGGATTGAGGGAGAGAATGGGAAATGACTAGTAATGGGTATGGCGTTCCTGTCTATAGTGATAAAAATATTTAAGAATTAGATAGTGGTGATTGAGGCATTTTGTGAATATACTAAGAGCCACTGAATTGTACACTTTAAAAGTGTGAATAATGGGAGTGGTATATGAATTATTTCTAACTAAAGTAGCTGTTTTAAAAATGTATACTAAAATAACAATGAGACACCACTATGTGCAGCGTATCAAAGTTATAAAAATGAAAAGATTTCATGATACTACTTATGGGACTTGCTTTTTACAGTGGAACAGTAATATCCATCAAACTTCAAAAAGCATATATCTTAAACACACCTATTTCATTTCTAAAAATATATCCTACAGACTCATCTAATGGAAATACCAATTGGCGAGTGGGTGGGTAGGTGGATGGATAGATGGATAAATAGATAAATGATTGATAGATGAGATGTAGATATTCTACTTACACCTACATATATATAAGCACACATACACACACATAGACTTACCTAAAGTTATTAACTTATATAATTGTATAAAAGCTAGAAACAGCCTATAGGTCCATGATTAGGAGACTGTTTAAATATTTTACAGTACTTCTATATGATAATGGGTGCTATGAGCCTTTAAATGGTACTTTATTATAGTAATACCATTGCTTAGATAATTTTTTAAACGAAGTAAAAATAGATATATATGTACTCTAATGATGTCTAAGACATGTTTTAGGGGACAGAATCCTGGTTTTATATGTATAATAGCATCTTCATGTGAATGAAAGAGAATATATACATATCCCTATATAGGCATACAAAATATGTAAATGTATTTTAGAGAAAAGTGTATCAGTTACCCCTGAAGAATAGGATGGCAGAGATGGGTGGATGGAAGAAAGGGAGGAGGCTGAGAAAGAAGAGGTGGATTTTCTTTTTTTTTTTTTTAACTAATTTTTTTTTTTAAAGATTTTTATTTATTTATTATTGAGAGAGAGAGAGAATGATAGAGAGAGAGCATGAGAGGGAGGAGGGTCAGAGGGAGA